GAGGAGGGCAGGAAAGGAGGGACGGGGAGGGGAGGAGGGGGAGAGAAGGAAAAACACAAAAAGAGACTAACAGACCTTGGGACCCTGGGCCACCAGAAGGTTCCTGTCCTGCACACCCTTGCCCAGGAGCGTGGGCAGGGGGGAAGGGCTCAGCCCACTCGGAGGCCAAGGCTGGGGGCAGCCCCCTCACCTCCCTCCCTGTCTCCGGCAGGGGACACTCAGTGGGAGGAGGAGTCCCGACACAGTAACACCCCTCACAGGACAACAATTCATTAATTCAGCAGAAGCTCAGGCCCCTCCCTGGCTCCCGCCCCAAACCGGGCTCTAGAGAGGCGCTGTGAAGTCAAACACCATTCTCGTCTCCAGGGACTCGCGTCTGGAGGGACAGGGCCCCGTAAACAGCAGCAGCGATGCCCGGTCCCACCAGGGGCGCCCACTGGGTGTGGGGCGCACCCGTTCCCCAAGGAGCCACAGGCTCCCAGCCGCCTCCCACCTAGAGCCCACAGCACCCTTGGTGGGACAGGTCTCCCCAAGGCCACCCCACGCACGCCCCGTGGGGCAGGGAGCGGCCAGGACGCCAGGCTGCGGGGGGCACAGGAGCCGCCTCCCCACTGCTGTGCGCCGGGCACGCCTCGGACAGCTCTGGGGTCCAGCCCGCCACGGACCCCCAGGCCCCGGCCCTGCGAGCTCTGTCCTCGCCCTGCAGGGCGGGCAGCAGCGAGAACGGGCCGGCGCGCCAGGACCGCGGCAGGGATGGGGCTCTGAGGGGCTCATCGGGAGCCCAGAGGCCATCTGGCTGCCCTTGCTCCTTCCGCCGCCACGCGTGGAGTGGGAGCCCCTCCCCTGCCATCAGCCCACAGCCCCTCACGGGCACGGGGCACCTCGGGAGGGCTCTGAACGGGGAGTCCCGGACCCCAGGGAAAGACAGGTGTGCGGGAGGCCAACCCCGGCACTCACTCCCTCCGCACTTGGTTTGGCCTCCGGCCCCCTCCAGGGGAGCAGGGAGAGGACCCTAAGGTGCCACCCCATAGATGGAGCCACTGACGCCCGGGGTGGGGACAGGGAACACAGAGCTCTGCCCACCCCACCATACCCGTGGGTGGACTTTCTGGGTCTCCACAGCTGGCAATGACCAGGACCCAGCTGCAGAGGAAAATGCTGGAAGGGGCACACCGATTGAGCTCCTTCCTGGAGCTAGAAACCGAGAGGCGCGGCACACGGAGCCCCGTCCCAGGGCGGCGCAGAGCTCGGGGACCTGCCGCGGGGGCTCTCGGGCAGGAAACAGCTCAAGACCCCTGGCGCAGGCTGAGTGAGCGCCAGACATCAGAGCGAGAGCCCTCCCCTCCCGCGGGCCACCTGCAGGCCCACACCAGCCCGTGGGCGCTGGCGGGCCATGTCCCCCGGGCACAGGTCAGCCCGTCCGCAGAGAGCACAGCACAGGCACCTCCGGGCGCAAGCAGCCCCCATCCCATGTGGGGCGGCAGTGACTTCTGGGGTGTCTTGGGCGGGGCTGGAGGGCGGCCCGTGTGAACACGCGGGCGGATAGCAGGTGCCCGCCCCGGCGTGCCCGCGCCCTGGCCCACCTACCCGGTGAGGACCACCACGAAGTCCATGACGTTCCAGCCGTTCCGCAGGTAGGAGCCCTTGTGGAAGACGAAGCCCAGGGCGATGATCTTGATCCCCGCTTCGAAGCAGAAGATGCCGATGAAGTAGGGCTCTGTGTCATCCTGGGGGGAGCACAGACTCGGTCACCTGGGCAGCAGTGGCCAGGCGGCGGGCAAGGAACACCTGGCGCGGCCGCGCCCCCCACGACAGCCCAACCCTCCCTACACCGCCTGTTTGCTCTTCCGCGCTGCCCGGACGGACACATGTCTGTTCACACAGCGGCAGCGTCCCCGTGACGTCCGGGGGTGCCCTCGCGCCTCCCACCCCGACGTCTCAGCTTTTGTGCCACGTCACAGAAGGGCCGAGACCCAGCCTGCCAGAGCCACGCAGCAGGCTTTGCTCGCGGAAGATGATGACGGCAAAGACGGTGTCTGCAGGCGCCACATGTAGGGTTAACCAGGGCGACCTGTGACCCCGCTGTGGTCATCCGCTTTCTAACGAGCGGGCAGTGGCCAGGCAGCATCTGGGTCCAACCCTGGACTGCAGCCGCCACGCAAGGCTGCCTGGACAAAGCTCGGCCGTCCTCGACCAGGGCCCGGACCCACCTATGCATTCAGCACACGCCTGATCACGCAACATGCAACTCTTGGTGGGAAAAACTGAAATAGAGAAGCAAAACCTCCAGCCCGAAGGCCCTCAGATGATGCTGCACCTCTTCTGTGAGAGCCCCACAGAGGAGCAGCGCCCACCGCCGTGCGCCAGGCGCCAGGCTGGACGGTGGGAGCAAACTCGGGCTCCAGACACCTCCCAGAGGGCAGGCGCGGCACCAGCAGGCAAGGTCTCCACAGCTAGACTTTGAGGAAAGGAACTCCAGGTGCAGGGAACAGTGTGAGCAAAGGAATATCTGTTCTAGATCCTAGAAAGATCCCTTTCCTCCACCCCATCCCAGCCAGGCCCTCTTGGTGCTGTGCAAAGAACAGCACACAAGGCGGAGAATCAGAGGACTCCACAGAAAACTCCGCGGGGGAGAGCGCCCAGGGGGCTGGACGTGGACGCCTGCACTCCAGGCTGCTGCCCTGGCAAACAGGGGTGGCGGGGAGGCCAGCTCCAAGGGCCTCCCCCGAGGGTCTGCCCTCAGCCCTGCCCATGAGGGGCCCCGACAGCAGGGCCTGGGAGCGGCCACCGAGGCGAGCGCCGCCGGTCCCACTGCCTGTGCCTTCCTCCCCAGGAAGCCTGGCTCCTGAGGGCTCCCACACCCGACTCACCCACAGCCAGCCTGGACCCCGCCCCCGCCCTGCCGCACTGGCTGGTGGAAGCTGCTGGCACCAGGGCCGGGGCAGCGGAGCCTCCACCAGGGCCAGCTCTCCTGTCCTGCCGCCCTGATGCTGACTCACGGCGGGGCGGAGGCCCCTGGAGGGACGCGCACACTTTTCTTGGCCTCGAGGCTTCTAGTTTAGTTGGGAGGGGCCCCTTTCCCCAGGGGACAGCTAGGCCCGGCAAACACGTCTTCACAGAAGGCTACTGGATAGAAACGGGAACGGGCCAGACTCCAGGGAAGACTGGCCGGGGCCAGCAGCTGGACAGCAGCCCCACCCCAGACTCCTCAGCTCCACCCCTCCCACGCCCGCCCTGGCCAGCGCAGGGCTGAGGGCTGGCGTGGGTGGGAGGGATGGGGGTGCAGGCAGCTCCGTGTGGGACTACGAGCTGGGCCCAGCTAAAGGCAGCCTCAGAGCTGACCGGTGGGTGGGAAGCCAGGGAGACCCCGCCCTGGCAAACACCTGAGAGGCTGCCTCTGTGCCCCCAGCCCCTGTCTGCTCCAGGGGAGCAGCACGAGCCTACTGCCTACCCCAGGGCCTTCGAGGGCTGTGCCCACAGGCACGCAGACCACCCGGCCAGAGCAGCTACACTCTGCTCATTTTCCCGACAATGTAGAAGGCACCCCTGCCCGTCAGCACGAGGCAAACACCCACACCGCAGGACGTCAGCAGGACAGGACAGGCTTAAGCCTCCCCGCCTGTACCCCAGTCTGGACCCTGGGCCTGTGTCCCTCTGGCCCTACCCTTGCCAGACTTCCCTGGAGACACCGCGCCCTGTGGCCTAGCATTCGAGCTCCCTGCCTGAAGCCCTGGTTTCCTCTCTGCCTCTTCTCTGGCCTGCAGAGTGGACGCTCCCTGCTGGGACACAGCAGGCAGCAGGCCCACACCACCAGCAGGACTTGAAGCCCAGACAAGGCCAGTGATGCCACCAGGCTCCGTGCCCATGTCCCCCACAAGGGCCACAGCTTACCCTTTGCCTGTGCCAGGGAGGGCCAGGGCAGCAGGGCCTGGGGACTGGCTGCCAGGAAGGAGAGTGCTGCTGGCCCCACAGGGACAGCTGGGCTGTCCACACTCCTCCTGCAGACACCCAGGACACGAACCCCCTTGGCCTTCTGGGCTGTGCACCACCCAACCTCCTCACCCCCTGGCTGTCCAACCACTCCCCTTCCCCTGATGCCCAAACATGGGCACTCCCGGCACACCCCTTCTGCACCACTGGGCCTGCGGTGGCCCCGTGGCAGGGACTTCAGGACTAAAACAGCAAGTCCATGCTAAGCACTGAACAGGCCTGATCTCAAAGATCTTTATCTCCAACGGACATTACGGAAGCAGAAGCCAGGGTTCGAGGGAAGAAGCAGCAGCCTCTGGATGCCCCCCAAGAAAGGCCATCTCCCGGGGGTCCTCAGCCCCAACACCCCCTCTCTGGACCCCCCACACTTGCTTTCCTCCTCTGCACTCTGACCTCATAGTCTCAGCCCACACCGAGCCCAGGCAAGGGGGCCAGGGCAGCGGGGAGCTGGGGCTGTTAGCCTTTGACATGGCGCTCGCCTCCCGAAATACTGCCCTTCCCTCCGACCCAGCCCCTGCAGAGACCCCACCTGGCTGGCCTTCAACCTGCTTCCTGCTGAGCTGGGAGGACCACAGCCTCGCCCCCCGACAGAGACCCTGCCCTGGCCCCCTTACTCTCTTGGCTCTGTGCTGCAATGGGGGTCCCGCAGCGGTCTGGGGAGCTCCTGGCAGGAAGCTGGAGGTGGGTGGAAATGGTTCAGAATGTTTGGGAAGGGGTGTCCCACAGGGAAGGGGTTCCGGGCAGGGCCACAACAGACAATCTGAAGGCAAGGCTCACGGTCCCTAGATCCAGGCCAGGCCACACCGTGGAGCCAAAGGCCGCCACAGCCCGCAGGGAAGAGTGGGCGGCACTCACAGAGCCTCAGGCTCCTGGCTGCACCACCGCGAATGCCCCTCCTCCACCCCAGGGTCAGCACCTGGATTCTCAGATCGAGGCCTAGTGCCACACGCCGGGCTGGCTCACCGGAGGTGCAGGGGTGGCTCATTGCACAGAACAGACCAGGAAGGGGCCCACGTGGTCTCATCCGGGACCGAGCGGACCACCCGGGCTGCCCGGCCCTGGAGAGAGGTGTCAGCTGCCCGCTGTCCCCTTTTCCTCGACTGAGAGCGGGGAGCGGCCTAGACGACCTCAGGCACCGACTCTGAAGCAGAGCAGTCGGCCGAGGTGCCAGCACCCCCACCCCGCGCGCGGGCCCCCGCCGCACTCACCAGCCGCTCGGACATGGGCGTCTTGTCCCCGTCAGGGAGGTGCTGCTCCAGCGCCAGCACGATGCAGTTGGCGATGATGGTGGCGAGGATCATGTACTCGAACGGAGTGCGCGGGTTAAGGACTGGCCGGGCGGCGCCACGGGGGGAGGCGACGGGGCTGCCGTCTCCACGGGCTCAGGAGGGGGCTCCGCGGCCCGCCCTGGGCGGGGGGCGAGGGCCGGTCTTCCCGGCGCGTCCCCGGGGCGGCCGCGAGGCGGGGCCTCCCAGGCCGGGTCGCAGCCCCTCGGCTCGCCCGGCGCCGTCAGCACCGCGGACAGCGCCTCCGCCCCGGCTGCGCCCGCGCCCGGGGAGGGGCCAGAGCCGCCCACCCCGCGAGCCCCGAGGGAGGCCCCGCGCAGGCGCGCGCTCCCGCCCGGAGACACGTAGCCACATGGACCTACACGGGCACGTGAGCACGCGAGTACCGACCCCCCGCACGCACGCACGCGCGGCCCCGGGTCGTGCTGTGCCCGCACACACGCGCCAGCACCCGCGGCAGGCGCGCGCCCGGGCTCGCGTCCGCACGGTGCTCACACCTGCCCCGACGCGGTCCGCCCTCGGGTGCCCTCCGGGCCGGCCGCCCAGCCCGGCGGGCGCGGGCGCGAGCCCCAGGACGGAGGGGCTCCGCCCAGCGCCC